GGTTTAGCATACTGCATACTATAATTAGTTCGGCTGCTACTTTCAATAGTAAACTATCGCAACTTCAACAATCATTATTGTCAATATTAATTTACTTATTTTGTTTTCTTTATTTTTTTTTTGCCAATAAAATATATCTAGGTACAATTTATTTTTTTGCCGGTAAATAATTACATTTTTAATAAATGGTTTTTTAATTTAATTGAATAGATTACTATCACGTCAAGGTTTTCATTCGTACAATAATTATCACATCTGGAAATAAACATGAAATTAGCATTCTGATTATACTAATTCTGGTACATAATTGGTAATTAAATAAAATATAAATCCATGAAAAAGATAAAGCTATTCATAATACTCAGTTTATTTGATTTTGGAGGAAATGTTTTGAATTGCTTACAGACACCTTTCTAGGTTAGTGCAGTTCATTTAGGAGGTGTTAGGCACCATGGACCTGTTTGCAAAGACGTTATTTATTTATTTAGAGTTTTTGCTTTTGTCGCAGCTAATTTTTACATACATTGGTTTTAGATATTGTTCATTGATGCCATCTATAATTTTCTCAACACTAGGCATGTCGGCCATTTGTAGTGTTTTAAGAACAGGGAAAAAAAAGGAAAAGAAGGAAGGCTAAGGGATACAAGTGCAAGCAGAAGTTTCTCCGTACATAATAGTACAAATCCTCAAAATGTTAGAGAAATGTTCGATAGGCATGGCTTCATGAATTGGATTATCTAAAGGATTATCCTACAGATTAGGACTTTGATTCAGAGATGTATAATGGGATTTCGAACATTTTATGACAAGATTGTGATGTAGAATCCATGTTTGGTTAGTTTTGTCGCAATATATGTCATTATCAGACAAGCATTTTATTATAAACAAAAGACCTAATCTATCTGTTGTTTTTGTTTTACTCACATTGATGACTTATATACAATTTCATGTTGGGTTTAATGCTTAACCATATTTTTGACCCTGATGTTCGATTCTAGCCAAATCAGTAGTTCATATATTATTTTCATTATCGCACATAGTCTCTGTTGGAGGGTATAATTGTCACATTACTTAATCACTCAACATGCCTTTTGCATGGTTTAAATATCACATAACCTAGTGGCCTAGGCAGGGTTTAATAATCACTTATATATATATATATATATATATATATATATATATATATATATATATATATATATATATATATATATATATATATATATATATATATATATATACAAACTACTACTACTACTACTACTGCTAATAATAATAATAATAATAATAATAATAATAATAATAATAATAATAATAATAAACCATCATAAGGAACACTTCACTAACACCAGCTTACTACAAAAACGTTAATCAAAGTTTCATGCTCCAGTTGCCGTCTTCGTATACACATTTAAAACCACCTATCCTGCCTCCGACTGTGCGATCAAACTTGTTTTGTATATGCATGTTTAGGGGAACGATGTCAAACAGGTTGCTCATTAAATATTTCGCTTTGGTTGAGTGTTCATGTTTATTATTAATAGTTCTATATGCTTTTCAAATTATCCCCTAAATCAAAAAGGTAGAACCGTATAAGTCAATGCATCAGCTTCTTAAATTTGGCCAATGACAAGTTAGCCAAAGATGTTTATTTCTTAAAGAAACTTACGGTATTTGTACGACAAAAATGAACATTTGTTCCAAAAAATGTTCAGAATATGGATAGTGATTCACTTCAAATGTACTTCGATGTGAAAGGTCTTGTCACATGACCGCTTTAGGCGAATTACCCTGTCAGGTTATTCATTTATTATCCTTATACAAACTAACTAGCGCAATTAATAAATTGCCACGCACATGTATTACTCCTTATCAGCAGTTTATAAGAAGCGATGTCCAGGAGGGTCGCATGGCGGAGGGATAGTCTTAGCACCAAAAGTAATATATGTTTGTAGTTTAGCGTCATTGGAAATTATTAAGAATAAATCTGGAGTAGTTTAGCGTCACCATTTTTTGGAGTCAAAAGTTCAGCCATAGGTACTATGGCGTCAAATTTTGTATTAGCACATCCTGGGTCTAAATTGCGACAAGAGGAATGGTACAGGTAAGGTGACGTCACGGTACTGGACACTTGCAACCTGGTTACAATGGGGCTTAACGCCATTATTCAGCTCACTATAGGCTATACATGGCAGCCAGTATTACTGGTGGAGGAAGAAACCGGGAAATCCGCGGAAAGAACCAGCGACCCACGAGAAGCAACTGGCAAGCTTTCTCGCATATGCACATTCGCCGAATCTTTGACTCGAAGCCACGCAGAGATGAGATGGCAGTGATCCGTAACGGAGAGCGCTTTAGACCACTCGGCCACACGGGGATGGATATATAATCATATGGCGAATAACAACCCTCTCAAGCGTACTGGATCCACCAAGGGATCACGTTTGTCAGGGATTAATTAAAATAGATGCAATAAACTGACGACGAACAGTACGAAACTAGTAACTAACTAGCCTAAGCGCTTTCGACTCTTAATGAGTCTTTTTCAAAGGCAAATACAAAACATAGTTACGACAAACAAATAAACACAAAAACGTTGTGTTTGTAAACCTCTACATTTCTGTCTTCAAATGTGCTAACACTATAAATACAACCAGCTTGTATAGACTAGTTGCGAAAACTGAAAACGTTGTGTAAATCCCTAAAAGTCTACAAGCCAAAGCGACATCTATTTTTACTTTGTGTACATATGTAACGCAGATTATATCCCGGATATTTGATTCTATACCGGTTATTCTTGTAGTAAAAATTGAAGGATATTAAGATTTAGAAAATGTTAAATTCTACTAGTGCATAGTTTTCATTTTCTAGTCTTCTTGGTTTAGACCGCTTGGTTTGAATGTTCTAAGGCGGCGTATCCAGTATGATTCCTTTTCCTTCCTGGTTTCGGAACTCCAGCTGTGGTTGTTAGCAATAGCGATAAGTATTATATCACTGAAAGTGTGGCCAGGGGAGGAGAAGTGTTCTGCGACCGGGCTTCTGTACAGCTTTTTTGTCATCCAATCAGATCTATGAAGGTTTATCCTTATGTGTAGCTTTTCAGTTTCTCCCACGTACTGAAGGCCACAGATCTTACATTTCCAACTCAAACCATGTTTTCCTGGACACAACAACCAGACTGGTGGAAAACAAATTACACACAGACATCTACTCGAAACCAACCGACAAACACCAGTATCTTCTCCCAACCAGCTGTCATCCAAAACACTGCATTAAGAACATTCCATATAGCCAGGCACTGAGGATACGCAGAATTTGCTCCGACGATGAAAGATTCCTAGAAAAGGTCTGAAGAGCTGGCTAAACATTTAATTTACCGAGGCTACGACAAAGACCTGATTGCGGAGGCAATCCAAAGGGCCAAACAAACAAACCGTGATGACCTACTCAGATATGGACAGAAAGAAAAGGTTGATAGGATACCATTTATTCTGACCTATCACCCAGACAATCCCAAAGTAGGTAAAATCATCGCAAACCACTGGCCAACCGTGCAATCGTCAGACATACTAAACCTAATACTTCCGAACAAACCTGTAGTAGCTTACCGGAGACCAAAAAACCTAAAGGACATCCTAGTCAGGGCCAAGCTAACAACAATCGCTAGTCAAAACCAACCTAGTCAATCTGGACCCTGTGGCGATAAAAGATGCAAAACCTGTCAACATATGATAGAGACCAAGACATTCACTAGCACAGTGACTAAAGAAAAACTAAACATACATGGTCCAAACAAAACGTGCAAAACAGAGAATGTGATTTATCTCATCACATGTAGGATTTGTGGCCTTCAGTACGTGGGAGAAACTGAAAAGCTACACATAAGGATAAACCTTCATAGATCTGATTGGATGACAAAAAAGCTGTACAGAAGCCCGGTCGCAAAACACTTCTCCTCCCCTGGCCACACTTTCAGTGATATAATACTTATCGCTATTGCTAACAACTACAGCTGGAGTTCCGAAACCAGGAAGGAAAAGGAATCATACTGGATACGCCGCCTTAGAACATTCAAACCAAGCGGTCTAAACCAAGAAGACTAGAAAATGAAAACTATGCACTAGTAGAATTTAACATTTTCTAAATCTTAATATCCTTCAATTTTTACTATAAGAATAACCGGTATAGAATCAAATATCCGGGATATAATCTGCGTTACATATGTACACAAAGTAAAAATAGATGTCGCTTTGGCTTGTAGACTTTTAGGGATTTACACAACGTTTTCAGTTTTCGCAACTAGTCTATACAAGCTGGTTGTATTTATAGTGTTAGCACATGTGAAGACAGAAATGTAGAGGTTTACAAACACAACGTTTTTGTGTTTATTTGTTTGTCGTAACTATGTTTTGTATTTGCCTTTGAAAAAAACTCATTAAGAGTCGAAAGCGCTTAGGCTAGTTAGTTACTAGTTTCGTACTGTTCGTCGTCAGTTTATTGCATCTATATATATATATATATATATATATATATATATATATATATATATATATATATATATATATATATATATATGGTACAAAGTACAAATCATATGGCGAATAACAACCCTTTCAAGCGCTATGGATTCAGCATGGGATCACGTGTGTCAGGGATTTATTAAATTAGATGCAATAAACTGACGACGAACAGTGCAAAACTAGTTACTAACTAGCCTGAGTGCTTTCGGCTCTTAATGAGTCTTTTTCAAAGGCAAATACAAAATATATACAAAACAAACAAATAGACAAAAAAATTGTGTTTGTAAAATTCTCCACATGAGTTAAACCTAAAGATTCATCGTCGCAACCAGCCTGTAGAGACTTGTTGCAAATACAGAAAAATGTTTATAATTCCCTAAAAGTCTACCGGTTAAAGCGACATTTATTACTTGGTGTACATTTGTGTAAAGCAGATTATATCCCGGATATTTGATTCTATACCGGATATTTCATTCTTAT